AATATCTCCAAGACTTTGCTCGGGAGAAATGAGGTGGATATCGATTTTCTAATGAGGCAAGCAGATGAGCGATATATCCTGGAATGTTCTCGCCAGGTATCGTAACATGTTGCCGCAAAATCGGGATATCATGGCCAAGATAATCTTATCGGAGGAGATGATGGATTGTCTCAAGGGGGACCAAGACATGCCGTGGACGGAGGCGTTGAAGAATAAAAAGAAGAAGGTGATTGGTCGGTTGTTCGGAAAGGGGTTTCCTAAAAGAGCGGAGGAGGAGGTCACGAGAGCCAAGGAGCGGACGAAGCACGAGTTTAGGTGGGCGACAAAGCTTTGTGAGGTGGAAAGGGAGATGCAAGGAAGAGAAGATGTTGAACGGGAGCTTGCGGACTTGAGAGTTGATAATGCAAAGGTAAAGAGGAACAAGAAGCGACCAAAGCGAGACAAAGCGCAAGCTGGGCCTCAAGGCACCTGGGAGGAATATAAGAGACGTTGTTGCTACTGAGGGAGGCAAGCAGCTGGCAAATAGTCGAGGGAAACAGTGTTAGCAGAGAGTGGCAATGGGACAAGCTATCGATATTGTATTTAATACCTTTCAGCAACAAATTAGCATAGGAGCTAGCGCTCCTCCTCCTTCTCGTCACAAACCCCATGAAAATCCCCATACCTCTCCTCCCCCTCCCTAATAAACTCTTGAAACTCCCTGCCCGGACAACTTCCCCCAGGCCCGTGCTGACATCTCGGAATGGGCCTCGGCGCTGAATTGGAAATGACCCTGACAAAGTCCCCTTCCATGCCGCTGCGCGCATCACAGCGCATGCGCTCGAGCCCGACGTGGCCGAGGAAGGGTATCAGATCGCTCATTTTCCAAGCGCGCGTCCAATTGATGTGATCGGTTGGGAATTCCTCGCGGGCGGCAGAGGACGAGTTGAAGATCCCGAGCGCGGTGGCGACGAAGGGAGGCACTTCGCGGTGGGTAAAGGCGAGGAAGAGGCGTTGTTTGGAAGGCCAGCCATCTCCGTCTCCGTCTTCATCTTCGCCTCCAGTCCGATGCTGGCCGTTGTCCTCACGCTCAAACCGCTCAAACAACTTTTCTTGTGCCCTCAACCACGGGAACCCCAAATACGGGCTCAATGGATTCAACGGCCCCACCATATGCGCATACTTCAGATCGTACGCATACTCATACGCCATCCACTCCGCGTCCGTGAAAACGCCGCAGATATCGCTCCGTCGGCGGTTGATCCCGCTTTCATATCCACATAGCTGCTGCAGCCCAATAACATCATTATCGCGCAGCTTGAACGGCGCGTACTGCTTCAACCGCTCCGAGACGTGCTCGGCATAGACGGAGACAAAGTCCAACATTTCCTTTGCCCCGGGCGACTTGCTGAAGCGTTCACATGTCTTGTGCGGGTCGATGATGTCGAGGGAATGGTTATCGGAGCGATGCACGCGGACGACTTCGATGTCGTTCGCCTGGGGGAAGGCGCGTACGAAGGCTTTCGCCGTGTCGTAGGTGCGAGCTTTCTTGTCGGCGAGGATCTTCCGCACCGTAGTGACGAGGTCTGGATACCGGGCGAGGAGATGCGTCCCGACTTCGACGGCATCGACGGCGCCGCTCGGGGTGATATCTTCGAGGTGGTCTTCGTCGATGGGACTGGACCAGCGGTTGAGAAACTCTAGGGGTCCTGTCCAGCCCGTCTTGTCCTTGCTCTTGTCATTGCGGTGCTCCGCCAGCCGCGAGAGGAACGGCTTGATGTATTCTTCGTATTCATCGTCGTTGGCGTAGATGGCTGTGTGCCGGATGAGGTATGTAGCGGCGGTGACTTTGCAGCCGAGAGGGGAGTTGTGGGAGAGGCCGAAGCCGGGCGCATCGAAGTAGGGTGAGATGCCGGGGAGGTGGAATAGGGGGTCGAAGGTGAAGTCCTCGTCTAGTCGGGTGAGGTGAGGTTTGGGGAGCGGGTTGTGGTCGTCGGAGTCGGGGTTAAGCGGAGATTGCGCCGGATGACGTTCTGGCTGAGTGAAGGGGGAAAATGGGAATGAGGAGGTCAATTGCACTGCTGGGAGCAGGCCTAATAGTATTGCGTACATTTGGCACGCCTTGAGTTGTTTGAGATGTCTTCGCTTCGAGCGGTGGAAGTCGAATGGAAGGCGCGGTTGTTCAAAATAAAAGCACAAAGTCCAACCGCTCAACGTCATACCGTAAAGGCTGGAATTTGTACCTGCTTTAGCGCATCACGTTTTCGAGGGAATGGCCAGGCTAAAGCCACGACGAAGAATTGTTCGGGGATTGTCCGAAGACATATTTTCTATGCAAACTATGGTATCTTTACACTTCAAGGAAAATCAAATGCTCTGCCAGCTAAACTGCACCGACTGGGCATGAGAAGCGGTATACACCGTCTGCTGGGTGCTTCCAGCAGGCACGGCATTGGCATAGAAAGTTGTAGCCCCACTGGAAGCGAGGTTGCCTCCCGAAGAGGTGAATACAGTGGCGGTGCTGACGCTTGAAGCACAGGTGAACGCTCCACTGACGATACCGCACTTGCCCTTGCTGCTGCTGAGCGTGAAGCCGGATCCTGAAGATGCAGCAGTGAAGGTGGCACAGGTTCCGCTGGAGTACCAAGTACCAGCGCTGATCAGGCAGCCAGTGCCAGACACGGCGTTGAGATAGCCTTTGCCGCTGAATGGCGCGCCAGTTCCACCGGGAGCAGAAGTAGTCGTCTTGGTAGAGGTGGTCATCGTGGTGCCAGATCCACCACCGGTCTTGGGGAGGTACTTGACTCCGGTTGCCGGGCAAGTAGATTTGGTGCCATCAGGGTCAGTGGCAACAAAGGAGCCGGTCTGGACGGAACCTTTGACGTTGTAGTGGTACCAGATCTCGTTGAGGGCGCCGCTCTTGCAGCCGAGGGTAACCTCGTAGCCATTACGGTTGGCTCCAAGGGCAGTCTGAATCTGGGCGGATGTGTATGTGGCAGTTGTGGAGGGAGTAATACCAGCAGCCGCGAGCCACTATACCGGATTAGCAGTGAATGGCGTGTGGGAAATATGATAGACCAACCTGGTAAGAAGGCAGAGCCTTGAAGAGGTTGACGGTCTTGGTGAAGAAATCAACAACCTCCTCGGTAGGTTGGTAGCTGGTGTAGCACTCTGGCTCGAGGGTAGAAACACAGGTGCCGTGCTTGCCTATAGGGAGTCAGCACAAATGAAACAAATACTAGGATAGTTCTGCGGTGCTCACCCCACTCGTGCTCCCAGAAGGTCTCGTCATTCCCTTGATAGTCCTTCCAGTAGGTTTGCATGTAGCTCAGGACGTCGTCTGCGCCGAATGCTTGGAGAATCTGGGTGATATTGGTGTAGGCACGGCTGGCATCGCAAGACGCGTCGTATGTGCTGCAATCATATTAGACAGAGTCAATTCGATCATCTTGGAGATGCTCACCCATCACATCGATCAGGCCTAATGATGTTAGCTATGCTCTTCAGGTATAGATACAGAAGACCTACCAAAGCCCGTGAATAGTCCAAGAATCACTCGGTCCAGTCGCCGGCGCAGTATCCCAGAACTGGGTCTGCAACAACTGACCACCCGGAGCATTGAAGCAGCAGAGGTTCGCCTGCATAGTGGTGTTATGGCAACTGAGCTGGCTATCCGCCGGGCAAGAAAGGGAGCTTCCACCCATGACCAACGAGCCGCTCCCCAGCAGCACCTGCGCGCCGCCAAATGCAAACTTGGTCAAAGACCGGAGGTTGGGGAGAGAAGAGACCATGTCGAAAGCCTTGTCCTTGATGGTTGAAGCAGCACTTCCACTTCCAGGAGCAGGGCCCTCGACTATTTGTACCCTCATCCCATCTCGCAGCCAGGACACTGCACCCATCATCAACGCCGCCTGTCTTCGCCGTCGCCAAATTAGAAAAAAACAAGCCAAACCCAGTTAGCCGTGATCCCGGGCCTAGCACAGACTGTGGGTGGGTAAGTGGATGCGCAGAGTCGAGAGGTTGCGTGAAGCTATGGACCAAAGGGGGAGGTAGATGGGTTGCGGACTCGCCTAGGGATGTTGAAGGGTCGTGAGGGTCGAGGGATCGTCCCGTTGCGCATCTTATGCGCCGGCCAGTCACCAGGCAGCGATGTCCCTCATGGGGTGTCAGATGAAGCGGCGGTGCACGTGAGACATCGTTCAGGCACAGTAAGGAGTGGTGGTCATGCCGTGGGTCTGTGGACTGTGGGATGACCCTGGGGAGCACTGGGGAGAACAACGTCGTCCGGGTCAAGGTTGTGTTCTTTGTGGCTTCTGCGCCGGCCGGTGCGAGATGACGATGCTGCGGATTCCGTCAAAGGAAAGCTTCTCGAAGGCCAGGAATGCGTCTGCGGATGTCGCCGATGTGTTGCAGCACTTGCCAGTTCTGGGCAAATGCTTGATGTACGAAGGAAAAGGAAGAGTTCCTGTTGCTAATCGAGAGGTGATCTGGGGTAAGCCTATTGATTGCTGAATGCCACGTCCGTTCGTCTCGACTCTACCTAGATTTTGTGCAACCTTTGAGAGGAGTTCCTGGGTATCTAGGTCTAGTTCAACATCTGAAAAGTAGGGAGTGTGGCGAATATGCAATCGAGAGGAAGTCTACCTCCTACTCTATCGTGACTTAGAAAAGACTTGTGTGAAGGAGGAGGCTGTCAAACCCAAACTTGTGCAGTCTCTAATCAATCGGATGAATCTTCAATATATTGCCAAATTGTTTTGAAAGTGCACAAGCTCGGTAACCCTAACCCTAAGCAAACAATGTATCAATTCATATTCCCAAACCATGGGAAGTTGTTGTTCCACATCTTAGGTCTCTCCGTGGTCTCCCTCGTCCAACACCTTATCGATAAGCGCTCCACCTCCTCCAAACCCCAATTTCCCTCCACAACAACCAAAAAAACCCCAGCCCCCCAAACTTCACCACCACAACTCCAGACATATTGTGAATCAAAAAAGAATGCTCAGAACAGTAAAAAGAAGCGACAAGTGCAGGATTCGAACCTGCGCGGCCGAGGCCATCAGATTTCAAGTCTGACTCATTAACCACTCTGACAACTTGCCCGCCAAGATCATCAAGATTGAAATTTATTGAGTTTATATACTACAAGAAGTTTTGTGACCAAAAAAAGTAGCTTCAGAGACATAGGGCTCGACAACGGATTGGAAGACTGTGGAACGAACAGCTTTGAGAATCCAGTTCTTTGGATCAAACATGATTGTGAGTGTTCATTCTACGTACCCTAACAACCCCGCACTCGCGATCCCTTCCGCCATGCAAGCTGGACACACCGTTTTCTCTCGATTATTGACGTACAACTACAACAACGTACAACAGATTTCTCCACTCTGCAACGAAGTAGACAGCCATCTATTAACTCCCATGCCCACTGATGCGCCACCAATTCACAATGCGCGCTCCATTTCTCAAATGCAGCTGTATATTTACAAAAAAGCGGAGAGTAAGTTTCGCAAGAAAAATCTACATCTACAAAGATCCCCCCTATTCACAGAATTATATTCCTACAAAGTCCTCTTCTCGCTCTTCACCTCGTAGCACTGCAGATTGTCTCCAGGGAGGAAATCCTCAAACTCGTCAATGCCGATACCGCAGTCGGTGCCCTTGCGCATTTCCGAGACGTCCTTCTTGACGTTTTTGAGGGATGAGAGGATACCTGTGAGTGAAGTTAGCCTCAATCGGATACCATCTAGGTTTGAATGATTGGAACATACCATCGTGCACGACCTCTCCTCCCCTAATGACCCTCACGCGACTGTTCACGTTGATGAGCCCATTCTTGACCCTCGACCCAGCAATCACCAACTTCTTCTGCTTCTTCAAGCTGATCTCAAAAGTCTGCAACACCTCTGCCTCACCCGTGACCCTCTGTGTGACCTTCGGCGTCAGATACTCGCTTAGCGTCGACTTCACATCTTCTACCACGCGATAGATGATCGTCTGGCTCGAGATCGCGACGCCCTTCCTCTCAGCCTGCGAGCGTACGAGCGGCTCGACTGGAACGTTGAAAGCGAGGATGTGCCCTTTGGAGATGGATGCGTGCTCGACGTCTGTTTGGGAGACAGGCCCGACACCAGAGCGCAGGATACGAGGGACGACTTCCTGGTTGCCGACGCTGGTGACGCTGTTGATGACTGCTTCGACGGAGCCCGAGACGTCGCCTTTGATGATAAAATGGACCTCTTTAGGACCAGAGGCTTCCTCTTTGGGTGTCTCCTGGGCCTCCTCCTCTGTAATGAGGCCGTTGGCGATCTGATCGGCGCGTTCGGCTGCTGCTGCTTCCATCTCGCGCTTATCTTGTTCGAGTCGTCTGGCTTCGTTGATATGCTCAACGTCGTCTGCGGCCCTGGATTGCTCTACCTTGGCCTGCCTGTACCTGGTGACCGCATCCGCGTGTTGCTCAGAGTCGGCTTGGAGAGCTTCATCACCAGCCACAGGCTGATCTCGCCATCCGTCAACCTCGACTGGAGTTCCAGGTCCAGCTTCCGCCACATCGACCCCCGCTTCATTCTTCAAGGTGCGGACTTTAGCCCAAGTCGTGCCAGCCACGAGAATTTGGCCCACGCGAAGGGTACCTCTCCGCACAAGGACGGTGGCGACACGTCCAGCTTTTCGAGTCGTCGTTTCGAGGATCCATCCTTCGACATTGCCATCCCGTGGCGCGCGATGATCGAGAACCTCTGAAAGGAGAACAGTCGCTTCTTCCAGCTCCTCCATACCCAGTCCAGTCTTCCCGCTAACAGGAATAGCTTGAGTCTCGCCGCCAAAGTCCTCGACTTCCACTCCATAACGTGCCAGGTCCTGCTTGACCCGATCAGGTTGTGCATCTTCCTTGTCCATCTTGTTAATAGCAACAATGATAGGTACCCCCGCCGCTTTCGAATGCTTGATAGCCTCAATAGTTTGGGGCATGACACTATCATCAGCTGCGACAACGAGAATGACAATGTCAGTGACATTCGCACCGCGCTGACGCATGGACAAGAACGCCGAGTGACCAGGGGTGTCCAGGAATGTAATCGTCCGTCCGGATTCCAGATTGACACTGAAAGCGCCAATATGCTGAGTAATGCCTCCATACTCGGTTGCCGCCACCGAGGTCTTCCTCAAATAATCCAAGATCGTAGTCTTGCCGTGATCGACGTGCCCCATAATTGTGACAATAGGCGGACGGGAAGGTAAGAGAGACGTATCATCTGGAACCGGTTCAGGGTAGAGATCCTCATCCTCTTCTTCTGCTTCAACCTGGGGCTCGAAGCCGTACTCCATGGAAATAAGGCCCGCGTTTTCGGCGTTCAGGATGTAGTCAGGTCCAACCTCATCAAAGCCCAACTGTCTGAGTTTCCGAGAGAAATCCTCCGATCGTACCCTCAACGCATTGGCAAGATTTGCAACGGTGATGAATTCTGGGAGGTGTATAGGAGTCGGTGCAACCGTAGATTGCTTCTCTTTGGCGTGTTTTTTGCGCTGGGCTTTGGTGTAATAATCAACGAGATCGTCCTCATACTTGCCACCACGGAAGTTGCCTTCTTCCTCATCATCGTGTCGGGAGTTGCGCCCCTCTTTCCGTCTCCGGGGAGCTCTTTCTCGTGAATGCATTTGATCTCGCTCCAGTTCCCGCTCGTACTCTGCATGCCTGCGTGATCTTGTTCCGGATGATTGAGGAGCAGGAGCCGGAGCAGGAGCAGCGGGAGTGGGAGTGGGAGCGGGAGCGAAATCGTCAAGTTCGTGTGTATCTTGGCTCACACGAGAAGGTTCAGGCTGGTGAGTAGAAGGCTGGTGAGTAACCAGGGGTCTCCAAATTGCAGGCCTTGCATCTTTGTCGCCAATGTCATCGCGCAGGGTAGCGTAGTGGCCCGCTTTTGCTTGCTCCTCTCTCTGCTTGACCTGAAGCTCATAATCTTGCCACAGCGAACTCGTCGCGTCTTGGTCACCGGGCTGCTGCTGTGCGATGGGCTTTGAATCATGGTACACACGCCGTGGGAGATGGCTCCACTGCGATTTGGAATGAGAATCAGGGTCGGTTCGACCAGGGAAAGGTTCCGTTGTCAGCCGCTGTCCATTTGCAGTGGACATGGTAGCGTTTATTCTTCTGACAGGAACGTTTTTTACTCTTCTGACAGGTTGGCATCCGCCTTGGCCAGTGCCGCGCATCGGAGCGGCTTCTGGAACCGCATCTCGTGAGCTTTCTATGCCAGGCTCCGAGTGTCCAGGTCTGGCTAGAAGAGTCTCCCTCAGCTGAGCATCCTCCGGATCGGAAATGTCCTGAAGAGGATCGCTGAACGCACCAGACCACAATTCGCTTTGAGGATGCGTATAAGTGGGAATGTCGTTGGAGACTTTTTCTTTGGGAGAGTGGCGAGCTGAAACATCAGACGCGGGCAGCGACCTTGAATTCGAAGAAGACTCTGTGCTGATGTTGTGGGAGGAAGCAAGCAATCTGTCAAGGTGGCCGAGATTGCTCGATTCCGGCAAAGAAGAGCTCTTTGCTCTTTTGTCTTTAGCTTGCGAATGCAACGGCCTAACAGGAGTGGCTATATTTGATCGCCCGGACCAAGGTCGGTCATTGATCTGTCTATCGCTAAATGCAGGTTCCGGATCCGACATACGATGCCAGGCAGTTCTGGCACTTAGCCGGCCAACGCTGGCCGCAATGCCTTCACCCGGAGCTTTGAACTGGTTGGATTCCGACGGCAAAATAATTCTCCGGAATTTGGGTGTCCTAGTCTCCCTTGGCCCTTCGCCATTAGCAGGGGTTGGAGTGAATGAAAGCTCGTTCGGACTCGGATTGAAGCCTGCGGAGTACCTGGAAACAACCGTTTTGGAACCTCGATGAATTCTTGGAGTCACGGTCCCTCCCGCACTTTCGGCATCAACAGGATATACTGCATCCAAGAACGATTCCCAATTTGGACTGGACTCTCCACCAGCAGCTTTGGTGTCAGGATCACCAGACCGTTCGGGGATAGACCGCGACCGCGACTCTGGAGTAGGAATATCCCCTTCTCTAGCTGGAGCCGCATGTCCTTCAGCACTCCTAATCTGAGCGAGCTGGTCGTCACCGCCCTTTGCCTGAGCTTCATCTCCTTCGGGGCTCTTTGCGTTGACCCGTTCCTGATTCGATGGACGTTCTTTTTCCCCGCCAGTATCCGCTTCGTGTGAATGAAGAGTACCTGGCTCACCTTGTGTTTCGCTGATTGCTGCTCCGCTGTTCGGTCCTTGTTCGAGACTCATCTCAGTCTGCGCGGCCCGTTGCATTCTTGCAAGCTCCATTTTCTGAAGCTCTATTTGCTCCTCCAGCCTTCGGATCATCTGATCCTTGGAGTCGTCTTTGTCCTCCTCGCCGAGTTGCTGTGGTTGTGTTTCATGCTGTGCGGATAAATCTGTTCGATTCACTTCAACTCGTCGAACCGGCAGCCGCTGGGAGTCTTCTATCGCTTTCATTTTGAGTTGCTTTAATCGTTTCAAGTCACGCCAGTCTGGAAGATCCTCCTTCAGAATCATTCTTCTAATGGGAGCAACCTGAATCTTAACCTTTCTTACATTCGGAGACGACAGCTGCTTGTTGTTATGTCCACCGTCCTCCTTGCGGCGCTTCAAAAGCTGTTGCTGGCCGGAGGTCTGCGTGGCTTTCACACGCTCGGTGGACAGTTTGGCATATCCATGCTTCCTGATTGATACGCCTCTGTTTGGTTCTTGGATGGGCGTTGGTGTTTGCTCACGTGGCTCCGTATCGTCGACTTCGGTCTCCTGGAGCGAAGGCTGATCTGCGTCTACGGTTGGCAATGGTCTTCGGCCATGGGCCTCCGTATCAGCAGCTTCAAGCCCCTTGGAGAACAAACTTTCTGGCACCGGCGGTAGCCTTGGCTCGTTGGCCCCCGCATCAGCAGCTTCAAGCCCCTCGGAGAACGACCTTTCTGGCACCGGCGACAGCTTTGTCTCCGGGACCTCCGTTTCGCGAACTTCGTACTTGCGAATGGGAGTGCTATTTGCAATTGGCCTTTTGTCTCCAGGGTCAATCTTCTTGATCACGATTTCTTCAGGT